CGTTCTTTGTTTCTCTAGTATATTCTGGTAAGTTCTCTTCGTACCTTAATGAGGTATATATTAATTTATTGATTTTGAAAAGAAAAGCGTTTGATATATCTGAATTTTTACAACACACATTTTCAAGATTAAAATATATTCTTATTATCTAAAACATCTTGTGATGATTAATGTTAAGTTCTGTCTTGTAAATTGTTTTGAAGAATATCATACTTTGAAAAATTTGAAATACTTATCAATCTATAATAAAGTCTCTTTGAGAATTTTTTTTTCAAAAGAAATTTTCTTTTATCATTATCTAAGAAAAAAATCTTGCCGTCAAAGTGTGTTTAAGAAAACTTCAGTTTCATTAAAAATTTCAATAGAAATTAAATTTTGATCTAAAACTATTATATTCATTTTGTTTTTCTTGTGCGCAGTTTATGAGAAAATAATTTTCATGAATCAAAGCTACACATTTCTCCGACGATACCTAAAATAACTTACTCAGTGAATATACGATTAATCTATTATTAAATAGGTAATGACAGGCAGTCATTCACACACCTTATTTTCTTTTATCTTTTGATTAAGTTTCCTACCTGGCTCGTATATTTTTTCTAATCTAGTGAGAGTAATATAAAATTATATTCAATATTAAATCAGATAAAAATAGTAATACTATATATATATTATACAAGAAAGTAGTATTGGTTTTCTAGAGCAGATGCTTATACGACAGATCTCTAATTAATATTGATTTTAGGTCTAATCCTTTATGACTGACTCGAAAACAATAATTTTGATATTATTTTCCATCAGAATGCACAATCATATTTGTCTAGTAGAGTCGAGTACTTTTTTGTTAATTGAAACCTAACTCGACTAGACACAATAAAATGAATTATGTCTTATCATAGAGAACAGTTTTTCTTCTAATGATTTTTTTCTATTGTAAAACAATCGCATACTATTTCACAAAGCTAAAGTATACACTTGATTAAATATCATATAAATGACATATGTTGATATGATATTTTTGTAATATAAAAACATAAAAATCAGACATGATTTTACTATATATCATATTATTTATTCAATTTGAAGACTTTTCTCATTCATATTGACTTCTACTGATAGCCGTACTTCATATATTTTTTTTTTTATTATGTCATGTTGTTCTTTTCTTGAAGAATGTACGAGCAATAAATTATAGAGCAGCTTGTTGTTTTTATGAACGCCTTCTTTAGATAGAAAAAAGAGAAGCAGTGACGTAGAATGACGGATTGACGTCATCATTATCGATAGAAGAATGGAATAAGAAATGTTATCGCCTACTTCTTTTTCTTCGGTCTTCGCGTGCTCGTGCGTTTACGAGTATGTGGGAGCTTTTTTTTCGTCCGCCTACGCTTTTTTTTTTATCTCCGGAGAAACAACTAGAAGCACTGATGAATGAAGACAAGTTCAGTTAATCGTATTTACACGTAAGCATGCCACTCCTCTTTGCAAACATGCAGATAGATGATGTTACTGATAGTATGAAATTCAATATACTTTTCTTTGAAAGAAAAGAAGGATAAGAAAGTTCTAATTAAAAAGTAAAATTAATTTCACTTTTTTCATCGTCTCATATTTTGTCAATTTCGTTACAATAAAAATAAGCAAACTGTTTCGTTAATCACACATTGATATTGATTGACATAGACTTTCTCTTTCTTTCAGATGACAATTGACAGTAAATTAGAAACATCTACAAGTTATTTGTTTTCGACATTATCGGGTAAGAAAAAATAACGCATCTAAAAATAGTGTTATTATTATTATCTTTCTAATTCAAAGGTGAAGATGAAACAGATTTTCAACAATGGAAAGATTCAATGTCAATTGAAACACGCATGCCTAGTGGTTTATCAACAGACAAACGACAAAAAGTAGAAAAATAAAAAATAAAATTTTCATATTTTTATTTCTGGTTAATCTCATAGTTATGGATTTCATTAGCAAATAAATATATTCATGATATTCATCTTGATTGGGATAAAACTCTACGATTTGCTTTTAATAATAATTCATATCCGGAAGATGAACATTTAAATATTCAAATTGATAAAGTAAATATTCAAAATAAAAATACAAAAAAAAAAAAGAAAATAATTTTTCTTTCATTTAGGATCTTCATCGAACAGGTTGTAATTGGTCATCAAATGAATATAATCGTACAATACTTAAACATGTTTTACTTGCATTTGCTCGTTATAATAAAACAATTGGTTATTGTCAAGGTCTTCATATTTTAACATCAGTTATACTTGATGTTGTTAATATGAATGAAGAATATGCATTAATGATTTTAATTTATTTAATTGATTGTATATTACCAGATTTTTTTTCAAATAATTTACATGCATTAGCTATTGATATGATTGTTTTTGATCAATGGTTAAAAATATATAATCCACAATTACATTTACATTTACAAAATCTTCAATCATCATCATGTAATGATAATTCAGATATAACATATGAACCACCTTTATTAAATGTTTTTACCATACAATGGTTTTTAACATTATTTGCAACATGTTTACCAAGACAAGCTACATTACGTATTTGGGATATATTAATGATTGAAGGTAGTGAAGTACTTTTTCGAACTGGACTTCTTCTTTGGTCAAAATTATCAATGTAAGTTTAATAGTTGTTTTTTTTTTTTCGTTTATTTATAAAAAAGAAAAATTTCCTTGTTTTTTTTTGCTTTTTATATATAGTGCGGTTTTAAAAATATCAACAGTTGATCAATTTTATTCCGTTATGGGTCATTTATCAGTACAATTACTTGATGAAAAAATTCTTGTTGCTGATAATCTTATACAAGTAAGATTTATATTTAAATAGAAATAGAATTTCAAAAATATTTTCAATGATTTTCAATTACTATTAGTTATCAGTTGTGCTAATCATGCATATGATTAAGTATATAAATAGGAAAAAAAAATGTAAGGTTATGGAAGGAAACAAATAAACAAAAAATTAATGTAAGAAAAATTTTATGTGATTCGAAGTAGATTACAGTTGACTAATTCTAAAAAGGACTAATGACCTAATTAGGATTTTTGACGGCTAAGACCAAAGAATTTATTGTAGGAAAAAACAAGAAGCTGATGTAAAGTATAGGTCATATTCTATTAGTAGAACAAATAAGAATATCTAATAGAAAAATAGTATGTCAATTATATACTTCTAATAAACTGTTAATCTTGATATTTTTCTAGGGTATATATAATTTTGGTCCATTTCCAACACCGTTTCTATCTGAATTACGACAAAAATTTACATTCCAACAATCATTAGAAAATATAAAAATAAACCAAACTATTGGACAAACAAATATCAATCAATCAAAATCTAAAGTAAGATAATGTTAATATTCTCACGAGATATTTACTAATTAGATACAAAATGTTTAACTGTCATTCATTATCCAAGAATGATATACTGCATGACATTATAATGCGTTTTTTTTTTCTGTATATCATTGAAGAATTTTCTTTTTTTCTGTTTTGTATAGGATATCAAAAGATCTAAAACAAAACTAATTGATGATGACGTTATTAATTTTATATCTTGTTTTGCAATACTTTCATCGTCACCATTGCGAAATAATCGATGTAAAAAAAACCACAAATTTCCTTTTTTTTTTTTTATTTCTATTGTTTCATATTTATAGTGGAGTCAATATTACCTAAATCAAATTCTCCGGATATAAATCAACTTCGACAACAATATAAAAAACTTAAACAGCGAAATCAACAAGTACAAATTATTACTCAATGTAAAACTTTTTAGAAATAAAATTTTCAATATAAATTTTTTTTTTTGTAATACTAAACAGGTTCAAATGAACAACGACAGCATTCATCAGAATCTGTGTGTTCAATATCCGGTGGACCATTGGTAATTAAAATTTTCCAAATAGAAAAAAAGAACAGAAGTTCTACGTTCTTTTTTTTTTCTTTGTTGTTTAGATTAATCATTTACTTGTTAAACCAACAAGTATAAAACGAAATCAATTAAAAAAACATGTTTCAATGAAATCTTCATCTAAAGAAGAAACAGAAGATTTACAAAATGAATTTGAACAATTATTAACATGTTTAAATTTTGATAAACCAACAATTTCACAAAGTGAACAAAATGAAAGATCATCAAAAACTTTAATTGATCATCTTATTAAATCACGATCATCACAAATACCAAAATATTCATCATTTAATCCATTTCCTTCGCGTTCATTTAATGAAAATGTTGCTGTCAATGGATATAAACTTGGATTATATTCACCTATTGTGACAAGTCGATGAATTAGAATAAAAGAGTCTTTCATATGACATACGACTATAATTAATTATTCATGACAATGAATCTTTTTTGTTGTAAATTGGTCGTTTTTTTTTTGTTGTTTTTAATGATCTCATCCATTTTAATTTTGAAATCTAAATCTATTTTTTTCTGTCTCTCTTGTCAATAAATTTTCTGTTGTTAATATTATTATTGAATGATGAATTTTATGAAATAATAATAAAAATAAATATACATGATAGATATCCTATTTGTCGTTCTTTATTTCTCATCTACATAACGAATTTTTTTTTTAAGCTATGATTTTATACTTCCATGTTTTTCCTTTCAATACCACGATTGAATCATTGTAGAAGTTGGAAAAAAAACAATAAAAAACAAAAACAAAAAAAAAATTCTCCAATACCTCCTACACTTGATTATCAAACTGAACGAAACAAACAACAAATAAGGCAAAAAAAAAATTGCACAAATTTTATATTAAAAAATAAAATAAAATTTAGAAGCATAAATAAAACATCCATAAATTTATTCGTACATGTTTGCATCACCTGACATCGTTTGCTATCGAAGGCACACCATGTTTTTCTTTTTTTGTTTTTCATCTTCACGATAGATGTATGTTCATAAAAATTTTAGATGTGTTTAAAACAAAACATATTTCATTTTGGTTGTCGTAAAAGAAGTAAAGTCATTGCAGCATCAACAACTTCAACACTCGGAATTATTGATGATGTTCCTGATAAATCATGTTTAGAATGTTGTTTTTTTCTTTTCGTATTTGTTTCTTCAGATGAACCAAGATGATGAATAATTTTATCACGTTTTTTAATATTTTTTAATGTTGGACAACTATTTTCATCGTTTGTATTACATATTAAATGTCGTCGTCTTTCAAAACATAAACGTTCAAATAGAACAATTGTATATTGTGTTGTTAATGATAATTGTCTTGTATTCATTGTTAATAATGTATCAAGTAAAAGTGAACGTTTTGAACGATCTGTTGTCCATAATGGATAACGTAATTTAATACCATTAATTGGATTTTTTATTATTTTAATAAAAAATGATAATTGTTTTGTCATATGATAACGTATTTTACTTTTTAAACGAGCACTTTGTATTAATTGTTCATCAGTTGAACAATTTGAATTATGATTTGTTGTTGATTGTTCAATATGATGTTCAATCCAATCACATATTTCATTTAATGTTAAAGCACGAGATTTAGAATCTTCAATAGCAAATAAAATCCAAAAACATAATGCGGAATGTGGTGGTGAAACAATATCAGTTGATGTTGTTGTAACACGTTCACTTGAAGAATTAAGTGATGATGAATCATAATCATGTTCACTATCAGATGAATCAATAAAACTTAATGGTGATGAACGATGACGATGTTTATCTGTAACATAAATTGGTAAATTTTTACTTAATACAGGTACGGAACGTGTTAAATGTGATGATGATGATGATGAACGATCAAATATATCGGATTGAGTTAACCATGATAATTCAGTAAGATCATGATCAGATTGTTGTTTTAAATTTGTGGAATGTTGATGTGTTAACATTTGTCTGAAAGAATATGATTCTAGTATTTTGTTTCTTTTTTACAAATAAGAACAAAAAGAAAATGATGAAGAACAAATTCGAAATACTTGACGCATTGATACACAATGTGTTATTTCCTTCCGTTATGACATGTGCTCTCAATTTTTTTTAACCATGTCGGACGGATAAAAGAGAAAAAAAACCCTATATGACAGTTACTTACGAAAAACAAAGAACTTTAACATATGAGAATATGTGAAAAATTAGCGTTTTCTTTTTCTGTAATGACATCATCTATTGATTTTTGTTTTTTCTATTCTTAAATTATTTCTTCTTTGAAGGCTATATCATATACTTCAGAATAAAAATATATTACTAATACACGAGAGTATTCTTACACACATACGACGAATATTCTACTATTGCTGATGATCTGTGCTGTTGGTCTGTTTATACGCTTCTAAAGTCAAAGAAGAAAAAAAGAAAAAACTAAGAAAGAAGAAAAGAAGAGAAGAATATGCAGAATCAAGAAGTACAGAGTGAATATGTGAGAATGGTAGCGCAAAGAAAGAGGAGACAAAGACGAAAAAGAGAAGGAGAGAAGAAAAGAGGTGAGAGAAGCAGATTGAATCTTTCTCGCAGAGTTAGTCGTGAAGGTATGCGTGTGCCCGTCGAGAAGAGATAGACGACGACGACGACAAAGACAAGGGGAATACTAGTTGACAGTGAGAGAATTATTGCTTAGCAACATGACATCTGTCTTTTACTTATTTTCTCAGCATACCGAGACATTTACTTGTATACCTATGCTTTGTGACATTAGGATGAATGATGAACGAAGAAAAATAGAGAAAAAAAAAAAAAGAAAGAAAGAAAAGACATATTGGCTTTTTTGCATTGACGAAGTATTTGAGTGACTATGCAAATTGAGGAAACGAGTTAGTAAGCAAAAGGAAATATGAAAAAAAATCTCTTATCAAAACTAATATCATCAACATAACCAGATGGTGTCTCGGTAAAAAATTCAGAAACTAGTAGAAAAAGAATATAAATAACATAAGTACATGTTTTTTGATAACAACATGGCGAAAAAAAAAGAAAGAAAGAAAGAAGCTTCATTATTTTCAAGTGTTATGTTCATAAAAAGTTTTTAATTTTGAAAAACAAATAAATGACTATTAAAATGTAATCGATTAGGAAATCGACACATTAATCTGTAATTTCTAAGAAATTACTTTAACATTAAATAAAAAAAAAAAGAAACAAGTTTTAATTAATTTATTTTATGAAATAACAAAAGCAAAAAATTTTTCTTTTCAAAAAGATTAACTTTCGATATGATTTCAAAACAAATCGACATAACATAAATTTTTATTATCTAAGAGTAAAAGAATAAAAAAAAAATGATCTTTCCTTTTCACCTAAGATTAACATAAATAGTCTAGAAATGATAAAGATATTTTATCTTTTCTATTCTATCATTTATTAAAAATGACTTCTTTTTATAGATTATGACAAAAGTATTTTTAATACATTAATATTTAAGAAAATATCGTTACCAAAATGAATATAATTGTTTATTGAAATGTATAGGATTTTACTTCAAAAACGAAGTTGTTATTAGATACACACAGAGAGACAATTAATAATTATTTGTAAAATCGAAATCAATAAAACTAAGCGATGATATACATTGCATTCATATTGTGGTTTTATGTAGTTGTTCACGAGAGAGTTTTGCGTGGAACTCGTTAAATGAGTCTCGGATTCAGTGCTGGATCTGAACATTTTTGACTTGACGAGCTTTAAATTTGAGTCTGTTTGTCTGTTGTGAGGAAACATTTGTGTTAACTGTAGGTATAATATGAAGTTTATTCGAAATTTTATTCGACGTACTATTTTATTTATGACGGTTTTAGTGAGTTTTTCAATAAAATATATAAAATTTTCGATTATCTCCTACCTTGAAATATAAAGAGAAGAATAAATTTTGCTTTTTCACATGATCAAATTTTCAATATTAGTTTTTGAATATAACATATACTTGAATATCTGATACTTTTACCATGAACAAGTTTCATTAAGAGCATTATTTGTGCAATACTTTAAATTCTACAATCAATTTCAAAGATGATTTAAGTGAAATTATAACATTTTGTTGAAAAATCCAAACTAAAATAGTTATAAGACTTATGAAGACGAGTTTTTTTCGACTTTTTCTACTGTCAATAGAGTATATTATATGAGATAACAAGCATGTCAAAATCAATTTCTCACTTGACGAAATTCATTTCGTGAAACCCCACAATCCAAACAAATGTTCTTATTCTTCGTGACTAAATTGTATATATATTGGAATGAACACTAACAATATTTGCAAAACAAAACGCAAATAAATGTCAAATTATGTCTGTTCATGATTGAATACTGGATCGTTTTGTTATTTGCTTTTTATAGAAGAGTCAATATGTTAAAGCAAGAAATTGCCTATTTATCTATTTTGTATTCCAAGACAATTTACTTCCTGATGACCTTACAAACTTTTACATCTATGATCAAATACACAAGACATTTGAGTCATTGATAAAGTCATTTTTCTTAAGGTCCCCCCTCTCAAAAATCGATCTCAGCCCAGAAACGTTCAAATGGGCTGAAATTTTGAGCATATGTTGGAGCTGAAGTGGGGAGGCTGTGGTACAATTTTCAGCTCGATTCACTGGGATTTAACAGAGATATAGACCAAACAAGGGTAAAAAATAGCTCATTTTGGTACAAGGATTTCTCAGTCCCGGCTCGGGCAATATATTTAAATTTTTTTTNTGGTTTAGAGCTAGTTGCTTAATATCACAGAAAAAATAAATAAATAAAAAGTAGGTTATTGTTAAACATTCTTTCAATGCTAGGGTCATTTTGCACTAACCCCACTAAGTTATTGATCAGTAACAGAAACGCGTTTTTAGGAGCAAAACTGTGGATTTTTTACACATTCAAAAAGGGTTTTTTTTAGGGGAAAAAGCGACTTTGAAGATGATAACATCCATAAAGTGATTTTTTTTAAAGAGAAACTTGAGATTTTTAGTGTAAAACGTGTGCATGTTAAGTCATTAAAGAGTCCTTTGGCTGCTGAGAACGTTTTATTTTTAAATGATATTGTTAAAAAATTTCGGAGTTTTCGGAGTCGGAATCGGAGTCAAAAAATAAAAATTTTCGGAATCGGAGTTGGAATCGGAGTCGTAAAAAGAAAGATTTCGGAATCGGAGTCGGAGTCGGAAGAAAGAAATTTTTCGGAGTCGGAGTCGGGTTTCGGAATGAAAAAAGTTGACTCCGCAGGTCTCTAGTGAAGACTGGTGCTAATTTATAGGTACGTTCATGGAAGGTGATAGCAAAAAGTGCAACAACGACTTTTTTTTCCCCTATAATGGTAAGCAACTAGCTCAAATTTAGATAGTGATTTTAATACATAATGGCGTTTTTTCGTCGACTTTTTTTGATAAGTATCCTTTTTTTATACTTTTAAGTTTTTAAGGTAAGATCGTTTTGAAACTGCTATCCCTAAAAAGTAGCTATTGGGACCTGAAAGCTATCATGTCCAAGTTTTTTAGATACCTTGACATCATAATTCATCAATAAAATCTTGCTTTAGAAAATTCTATTGACTATTAATATCACTCTCTGGTTTAGAGCTAGTTGCTTAATATCACAGAAAAAATAAATAAATAAAAAGTAGGTTATTGTTAAACATTCTTTCAATGCTAGGGTCATTTTGCACTAACCCCACTAAGTTATTGATCAGTAAGCTGAAGCTATAACATCTTTAGGCATAATTAGCATAGCTACGGATGTGCAGCTTCAGTTTATTAGTTACTGACGTTATTATCTCTGTGTAGTTAGTACACACTGAAGAATTCGAACACAACTCTACAAATAGGGAATATTTTGATAGAAAAACTGTAGGAAATGTCGAAAAGAAAAAAACAAAATTGAAAATTTCAATCAACAAAACATTCTCTATTTTTTATATTAGTGGTGTGAATGTAAGTGTCGCTTCTAGTCTTCTCTTCGTCTACAAGTACACACCTACCTTGAAGACATTACTTTTTAAAATATTTTCTTTTTTCCTATGGCCAATCTCTGAATGCTGCAAAGAACGTGGATGTAAATGTATTTAGTCAATGCTTCACTGAAAACCAATGTCAATGTAATCAATAGACGTTGTGCCGGTGACTCACTATTCAATCTTTACATCAAAATTACATATTTCTAAGTAAGTTTGATTGTTTATTAAAAATTGATTTTTGCCAAGCAATGAGTTTATTTCATAATGTGTAGTCAAACAGAAAAAGAAAAAAGAAAAGAAAGGTGAAATGAAGTGCACACACACATTTAAGAAAAATCAATAAATTCATGGTTTCCATGGTTTATCCGAAACATTACTAATATTTGATCGTTCAGAAGCAATTGATGAGCGTGAACTTTGTTTTGATGCTTGTGTTTGTGAGCGTGATAAACGAGTTCCACTATCGGTTGGTAATAAATTTTTTTCAAGTTGTGCATTTAAATCTTCAATATCATTATTAGTAAATTCTTCCCGTACATCAAATCTAACCATAGGACCTGCTGAAGGTCGTGTTACACTAGCAGCAGATTGACCAACGGGTGTTTCTTGACGATTAGTATTCATTGATTGTGAACGTTTAACTTTTGTTGATGGTGTTTGTGGTGTACCTGATGATGTCCATGATAATGGACATGAGCCAGTCAAAAGACCATGAGGAAATTTTCGAATAGCATATTTCAAGCCTAAAATTTATTAAAATATATTTTGAAAGTTATATTTTGAGAATATCAATAACTTTTTTGTTATTATAAAATAAAGAATGAAGGATACATGTGCTTTTTTTTTTCTTCCAATGACTTTATTCAATTTTTGAGAACTATATTGATCGAAATCTAATATTTTAGAGATTGAATTTTAACATTAGACATTCTGTCGTAGATCATGAGAACTTTGTACATACGATAACTTAAGAAAAAAAAAACTATTGGCTAATTACTTAGTGAATAATTGAATTTAATATTAAAAATACAACCTTAAGTCATGGTGTTATTATAGCAAATAAAAGTACAATCAAATAATTTGTATTAAATTATAATGGTAGTTCAACGTATTTGAAAGTTTATCTAACAAACTACGAAAAAGATCTACATTTCTATTCAATCATTAGATTGATTCAAGCTGAAAATGACTATGAAATCGATCATTTATCAATAATATTTCTTTAAAACTTTTTTTTAACTAATTGAAATCGATTAATATTCTCTTCCATCTTTTCACTCAACTCTGATTCAATCGATGCAAATGTCATCCCAAAGTTATTTCATATCAACGAAACAATAAATAATAATCAATTGATCGATCATATTAAACATAAAACGCCCACTACACACGTTACATCCCTAGTTATACAATTTTTTTTTTTCATTTTAATAATGTACATTTTATTTTTATTAAAATAAATAAAAATTTCAGACATTATTGAGAATCTAAAGCTTAATAGAATTTTATTATAAATTCTAATATTCATGTGATCATCTAATAAAAAAAATACGGATAAGAATTTAGTTACAATGTTTGGCATAACATCACGTTGTAAGTGTTAACATTTCGATAAATTTAACAAATTAAATAACAACTTTTAGAAATCTGACACTTGCTTATCTACTAACAATAATCTTCCATTTCAACCTACTATCTTTTGGTTTATAAATAAGTTCAAGGGCTTCATTGTTATGTAGGATTAATATATAAAAAGCTCTGATTCACAATATCAATTAATAAATGAAATAAACTCAGACTTTTCTACTCTCTCACATAAGTTATCATGTCAAAGGTACTTCATTCTGTCCATACATAAACAAACTCATACATAAATTATCAATTTAAGTTTTATTTTAAATAAAAATGATGCATTTTAATCATCTATGCTATCAGTTAACAAAACCTAATGCTATTTGAACTTACCGACAAATATCTAAAATATCAATACAACTCAAATCTTATGCTTTCTGAATAGTTTCTATAATACTGGTTTGTTCCTATACAATTAAATGTGTGCATTTGAAAAAAAAAAAAAAAAAAAAAAAACTACATCTACATGTTTTGTTTATAACATCATCAATCAATTGGTTATTATTTGTTGTTTAGTTACTATGTAATAAGTTCGACAAATAGTATGTCTTCAGCATGTGACTAACTGTCGAGAATTTTTAATGATTATTACAATTGGCAGTTATCGAAATGCTTTATTATATGAGAAAGATTTCACTTGAATAAACAACTCTTAAAAGATTTTAGAGATTTGAAATGCAACTAAAAAAACAATTGAAATTATTTAGAAATACTTCTTCGTTTTGTTTTTTTGTTCCTATTGACAATATTTATTAGATCAGACTTCATTAGTTATTGTTTCATAAGCCACACAACAAATTAGGATATAAGAAACGTAACTTTTTCTATTCTTGATGAGAAAAAAAAAGGCGAAATGTTCATAGCCTAAAGTGAAACTGTAAAAATTTATTAACTAAGTTTTGTCATTTTAACGTAATTAATTACTAAATTTACTGTATAGTTATATCCGGATAGTTTCAAATAATAGAACGGATTAATATTAAGTGTAAAATCTATGTTGATATCTTACTAAATGAAAGTTCGAATTGTTTTAGAAAATTCAAACTTTAAAATTTCTTCAATTAACCGAAAAGTACTTTCATCGGAATGATTTTATTTCATAGCAGCTATAAGCTTTATTCATTTTTTATTTTTATAGGATAATAAACTTTTTTTATTAATTAAAATGTCATTGTGATCATAATAAAAAACAACAACTTATCTAACTGAAGATTAAATGTTACTTAATAACAAAGTTTTTGTTCTATTTTTTCTGTCTGTGTGTAAGATGACCTTTAAAAATAGGGAATGTAACATATTAATTTGATAGTATACACTTATTCGTAATGCACAACTACAGACTTTTGATAATAAGAAAAGAAAAATGTCTTTTTTTTTAATGAGCAATACTTAGCATTTTAATTGCTCATCTAAGAAGAACTTTTTAATTATTACAAAAATATGTTTATTAATTAAAGTTATGCAGAATATATTGTAAATTACATAAATGAATAGTTCTGGTACATGAGAAATATCTTTGACAATTAGAAAATAATATTCTTTTGAGGAAATAATTTTAGTTTATTAAACTATTTGCTTGTGGAGCTATTAAAAAATGAGGATAAACAATGTAATATACATACGTTGCACATTTAAATATACAATGCATATGTACTGCATTGTTTATTGTTATTTTTTTACTTGAAGGTGCCTCAATTATAGATTGAATGCTTGAACAAGGGAATGATTTAATAAGCTAGAATTCTTAGTGTTTTCATGTCTAATTTGAGGCTACATACAGGCAAAATTTCATTGAAATTTATCATAACAAAAATATTTTAGCTTATTTACAATAGACTAGAGGCTTTTTTTCATATAGCCAAAATTTATCAATTGAAATAGAAAAATTCTAATATTATTTTTCATATTGTCTAGTAATTTATTCAATAATAAAGATTAATGATAGTAATAGGTGGTTTGACAATATGTCATCCTAAAACATTAGATGATAAGGTGCATAAGAATAATTCAAAAGTAGAACAGATCAAAATAAGATCATTTATTTTTCTATTAATATCTAGGAAACAAAAAGTGAATTAAGTCATAGTAAAAAACAAAGTGTTTTTTTATTAGAGACTATTTATTCATAAAGATATATGTTTTATGATGGAAACATTTTTTTATTTATTCAAACTTATTATAAAGTATTAAATCTAAGAGTGCAATGAAAAGTTTGCTCTACTTTTCAATTGAGAAAAAAAAAAATGTTCCTACCAATACTTCTAATTTAAATGGATACCGTATACTTATTATCTTTCATAATGTTAAGGAAACAAAAGAACGCATGTTGAAATTGTTTAACTAATATTACAAAAAAAAACCCGAAATCTTATCGAATTCAATTTATCATTTATTAGAAAATCTTACCTCCAGAAAGTAAGAAAATATTGTTATAACCACGTTCTACCATAATCGTTGCAGCATTTGGTGCAATTCGTTCATCATCATCATACAAGATAATAATTTTGCCTTTTTGATTTTTCTATTATTAAGCATAATTATTTTTAAAAAAAACACAAAGATAATATATAATAGAATTAGTGTTTTCGAGTAAAAAGAAAAAGGATTTTCAACGCCCACATAGCATTCAATATATAAGCCTAAGATTGTCAAGTGCTTTATAATAACATCGTTGTCAGTGGAAAAGACAACGAATATGTTTAGTTATAGCTTTCGTCATTTATTATGAAAGTCGATACAATAAAGAAAACTCTTTATAATCTCTTTATTTCGACAAAAAGTTATTTTAAATGTTTTTATAAACTTTATTCAAAGTGTCTTTTTTACATATGACATTGTCATATATAAATGACAACTAACTGATGAGTATACTTTTATTAACATAAAATATTGATACTATGCATTTTGTATCGTGTTTTTTTTTTTCTACTAATTTCGTATGGAAAATTAACGATTGTTATTTAAATAATTTTTTTTCAAAAACTTGTTATCATAAATCTAAAATATATAAAGATGTTAATTCATTTAGAGTCAGTAGACTATTCTTTCCTTTTTTTTTTCTTTTTTTCCCTCATACAAGAATGAGTAAAAGTTTATTTATCAAGAACTATAAATATATAAGAATAGAATTTTCTATCCATACGATTAAGAAACAAATTAATGAACATAATACTAAATTTTTATTTATTTTTTATCTCATAGTATCTGTCACGATTGATAATGGACTTCATAAATACATTATAGATATATTCTATATATTTTTTGTTTTAATTATCTCCAGATTTTATTACAATAATGACTTTAATTATTAACAATCTACTATTTATTTTTCTTATTGTTATTCATATGAAAATGATATGTGTCCATGGAAATATTAATCATTTATGTAAATTGGAAAATCGTACTATTATTTATAATATATGTAAAACTCGACCTAGTATTACTATGCCCACTTGTGTAGGTTTTTGTGCAAGTGCTACTCAATGGAATTTTAGTTTAAATCGATTTGTACGTCGAACTCGAGCATGTACGGTAACTCGACATCGAACTGAATATTTCGTATGTCCTGATTCTACACATACAGCTATTGAACTAATGATACCACTTGAATGTTCATGTACTAAATCTTCTTGTCATCATTATAATTTTTCATAGTAAATACATTATAGAAAAAACCTTATATAATTTTATGTATATGTATATATATATTGTTTTTTAACTTATATCTATTAAAGACATTGTTTGTTTATATATGTTTTCTATGTGCAAATAATTAATCAGAAAAAAAAAGAAAAATAACAACATACATAAATAAGTAATTCTTTAGATTCATTATTTGAACAACGTGAAAGCATAGCAGCTGGATAATGATGAGCTTGAACAAACAAATCTAATTATTAATTTATTTTATTTATAATAAACTTTTCTACCTGAAACAATATGATTTGCTCGAAATTCATCTTTATCACGAAGATCAACAATTAAATATGGTCGTTCTTCAAATTCTAAATTATTTTGTATACTCATTGGAGTTTTAGGTGTTGCAGGTGTTGTTGAAAAACGATTTTGATGATTATTATATACATCCATTTCTCCAACACCACGAATAACACTAGATATTAATGTATATGTTTATTTTATTTTTGTTTAAAAAAAAAAATATTTTTTAACCTTTGTAATGTTGATCGTGTTGTTTCTGCACTTATCTGACTATCTTGTGTATTAGGTCGATCCGTATCGGTAAATGTTCGTTGTGATGCAAATGAATCTATTTAAGTAATGAAATAAAGTTTCTTTTTGTTTTTTTAAACTAAATCTATTTACCAAATTCAGCATTTTTTGGTGTATCTAATGAATTGATTTCTGCTACTTGAATTATCTTAAATTATAATATTTTATTTGATTATAACACAAAAAAAAAAAGAATCTATCAAACAAACCAATTGAACAAGTGTCGATATTTTCATACGTTTAAATATTTCACCAACTTGTTGTTTACTTGCTAAATAGAACAAAATAAAATTAAAGTGATTTTGATTTTTCATTCATATTTTTATGTATAATTCATTATACTTATTATTATTTAGTATTGAAATATTTATTTTTTACATGGCAAAATATCTTCGATATAGTGTATAAATATTGAATGTGAGAGAAAAATCTTTATATTATTCGATTTTTTAAAAGTTATACCTTGGATAATTACATGAATTAATATTTTTATCTATTTTCTTTTCAAATAATTTATGTTAATTTATATTGTAAACAAGATATAAAATGTCGGTATTGAGTTTATTCTAAGAAATTATTTTACATAATGAAGTAGACATTCAAGTGACAAATTCTTTAGTGTTAATGAATTTAATTGTGTAAACTTGATTTGCTTGTTGATGAATGACAAAAGAATTCAATAATTGTACTTTAACAATTTTATTGCTTCATTTTGCAAGTCTTTATTAATTAAGATTGGGTGCGAAATTAGTATAGAATAGGAGAAAAATCAAATTATTTTTTTTTTTATAAATTGAACATTCAGTACTTTCTGAATTGTTATTGTTCGTCTACTATTGTTATTTTATGTTAAAAGAAAAACCTCATAATTTTCCTTTTTTAGAATATTCAATGGAGATTTTCTTTTCCTTTTTAATTGCTTGCATGACTTTTTTATCCTAAGTATCTATCTTATTTATATTCATTTTTAATAAGAGTTTATAGAGTTGAGCTTTAAATAAAACAATACATTTAAATATATGAGACAAAAGAGTTATAATTAGCTTTTTAACACTTATGATTTTAATGATTGGCGTCCATCTATAATTATTTTCATATCTGTATCGAATTTTCAATGTCATTGAAGCTATATCAGTATTTTGATGCATGATTTCATCACTATTAATCCCAATAAAGGTATTAGAAAGAACCGTGAGAATAATTAAAAGAAAAGCATAAAACTTGAAAAACTAAATTATTTTGACGTCATTTCTTTTATCATTAGTTCGTTAGAAAAAAATGGAATTAGAAAAGCAAAAGAACACTTAAATAAACGATGGATTAGACAAATACAGATAGGCAAATAAAAGATAATGTATTTGATACTATTTTATTTAAAAAAAAGATATGATATTCCACTAGATATCATCCTTGTTAATATTTAAAAACAATCATCTATTATAAGAATAAAAGTGTACTAATAAAATTTCAACAATCTACTATATCTAAATTTTCGTATGCTTTCTATCTAAAACATTTTATATAGATCATATTACAGAACAACTGGAGATGAATTATATGTTTTCTTGTTACATAATTAAAATACCTTTTTTTTTTCACACTAATGAGTTGTCCTCAAAGCCTAGAGAACTATAAAACAAAAGTACAAGAAAACTTTGTCCTCATATTTTGCTTTCGGAGACACAACATGTTTGTTGACAAAATTAGTATGAAATAAGAAATTCAAATGCTGTTTTTTTTTCATTAGAAGTAGCATTAATTAAGAAAGAAAAAAAACAGGATATTCATGTCTGTCGCATGTCTTGCAGTACAAATAGCTGCCCACAGACAGTAACATACGCTCGTTATTAGTAGTTATAGCTCTGTACACATCACTGACATGACACAGATTTCTCTTCGCCAAATTGCTTAATCTTCATATACATATTAACTAATCAGATACTAACGATGAGGACTAACGTACACTACAATGTAGTCAACATGCTATCGGACAAATGATCCGAACTTCATAATTTGTTCTAGATCGGTGATTGCGAAACTCAATATGTTATCTTGTAGATATGCGCCGAACAACATAATTACTGAATCTTAAAGGCTCGTCGAATAAATATTAACAAAATTATCAAATGAAATATTTGAAATATCGATTTTTGTATTGTTTACTAAAATATGACTTGAATTTCATATAAGTAGAAATTTAATTAAATTTCAAAGATAACAAATTGCAAATTTATTTTCGACTTGAATATGGTTTCATGATGTCAATAACTATATACAAGTATCTACTAAATTATCAAACGAAGACAAACAACAATTATGACATTAAAGTTACCATAATTCAGCGATATAACTTTTAAAAATGATTATAGCCTAATAATAATGTGAGCGTGGAGTTTTTTCTTCTATTCGAATATGATTTAATATGTTTACTACTACTATCCATTTCAAAAAATAATGTATTTTACTGTTTTTTAAATAAATTGTGATAGGAGCATCAGAGAAATCTGCGATTTTCATCATTCAAGAGAAGAAACTCGAACAAAATTGGAAAGGCAATAGATTCAGAAGATCATTTTCGAAAAACCTTTCCCGAAAACTCATCCGACTGGCCTAATTACTGACCAATCAAATTTCAATGGTCCTTGGTTTCCTTTCTTGAATGATGAAAACCACAAGTCTCTTTGCTATTTCTACCAAAAGTTATTTAAAAACGAGTGGAATACATTATATTTTAAAATGGGTATTAGAAATCGTTGTATCATAAGTAGAAATGAATACCAAATGCAGACGATATGAGATAACCCAATTAGACATTAAATTTTTTTTTCAGTGTTAGCAAAAAATCATTATTTTCAGAGTAGAGTCATTTTCACGGTAAAAATACCCAAAAACTCGCTACTATTTCTAGATTTTGACTATCAAAAGTCGACTTTTATTGAAAACAAGGATAATTTTCGAAATCAGTTTGCAAAAGGAAAAAAAACACTACAAACTCTATCCTTCATTAGAAAAGACTTTCAATCTAATTCTTATGAATAAAAGCTTTAGAGGAAGTAGAGCATAGAATTTCAAACCATAGCTGTAGGTGCCATCATTTTCTTTTTATTATTTTGATAGGTTCTATGAGACTATTCTGATGATAAAAACTTTACTTTGTAGCAGAGTATATTTGTGACATTCTAGGCTAGGTTAAACAATGCTTTTGATGCACTAAAAAACAAGTGTGTAACTAACTGCTCTTTAGCGATAAGTAGTGCTTGTTAATAAATTAATTTCTCAAGATAATTTTATTTTTAGTTTCTAGAGACTCTTCAGTAAAAATTTGGTTATTATTCATGCAAATGTAACGGGTGGCCCATAAAGAATGGCGGTGTCAGTATTTCGTGAATATCTCCCTCAATTTTCATTGTCCAGGCTTCAACCTTTATCTAAAAGACGCGTCATTCAATTCTCTACAAAATTATATGAAAAGAAACTCTTCCGATGAATAGCTGAGAAATCATATCTGGTCAACACTGCAATGCTCCAAAGAAGCCCACTTTCAAATCACTGTTTTTCGTTTTTACAATGTTGCGTCGCTCTTTGACCAGATTTTAAAAAACCTGAATACGCCACTTTGTAGCATATGAGAAGCTCTATCAGTCAAGAGAATAATTTTTTTGNGACAGATAACGTTTCTGTATGTTTATCTTCAAATGACTTTTTTGGAAGAAAATAGATTCTAAGGAGTGAAAAGGGCAACCTTAAGAATATGAATAAAACTCTTTGTATCAAAATATAAACGAATACAAACAAAATCTAATAAGGTTTAGAGTAAACAATAAACTTGGTAATATTTTTAATAAGTAAAAATTATTTGTGTAATTGATTTTTTAGTGATTAATAGAAAAATGCTAAATTTTCATCAAATGATTCGCTAAGAAATCAACATAGTATGTCATTGTTTGTCTGATTGTTAACATCTGTCAAAGATATATACAAAATTAATAGAAAAGAAACTTTCGTCAAGCCAATATATCTTATACCTAATTTTTCCATTATCAATTATATTTGTTTACATGTGGAATGTTTTCTTCTAAAAGACTATATTTGTCTTTTACGATTTAATATCCGAGCTATTGACACAATGTCTGGGTTATTTGTCACTATTATTCATAGTCAACACCTGCTCTCAATTAATTATTGACTTTTCTTTCATTAATCCAAGTTCTTATCTTAGTGTGATAAAGACTTGGTTGTTATCAAAAGCCAAGCAATATTCTAAAGATCAAATTACATCTAATGTGCTGCGGATTATTCATAACTGATGATTCATTATTACGTACTGAAAATGTATTGTATCACATTTTTTCATAGAATATCAAGTTTCGAACATATATTCAATCGAATATTAATGAAGAAATATTTCCGAGTATTGAATACAATTTTACTTCATATTTTCTCAACAAGTACGTTGAACATCAAATCTAAGTCGAGAAATGTTCTGTCGGAAGTTACCCAAAGTCTTCCTAGTTTCATAGATAAACAATGTTTGATCTTGGGAAATCTTTCCACCTACGTATCTTATTCAGAATATCAACAAAACAAATTGTTAATTCTAAAAAATCCTATTACTTATCAATACAAACAAATTAACATTCATAACATCAAAACTTATTGTTTACGAGATCAAATTATTCAACTTTTCTTTTATAAAATAACTCTTTTTCTTGTCTTTACTCCTGTATTCAATTCTAATTGGTAATATATATATATATATATGAAATGATTTATATGTAAAGTTAAAAAACTTCAACATCATATCAATACTTACATGCACGTAATTCTTCATTTCGTTTGAGAAATTTTGTTAAACTATCACCTAAAAAAATGAAATTAAAATCAATTCATTTTTATAACAACATACAAAAAAAAATCCAATTAACTCAAACCTGTATCAATTGTTGCTTGAACATTTTCATATTTTGGATTTCGTGGTACACGTTTATCCAAAACCTATAATAAACTAAATAAAACTAAATTTTTCTTTTTTTATCTTTACATTAATTGGTGGTTTTGGACGATTTGATGTTATCATTGAAATAGATTCAATAGTTTATAAATTTCAATTTGATTATCTAAAATACGTATATTATGACCTTCATATTGACCATACGACGTCTAAATGTCTTAACCATCACAATTATTTATTGCTAAGATACAACCTCGATTTTGAATATTAATATTTGCACTCGATTTCTTTGAATTATTGAAATAAAATTTAATATTTTAATGTGAAAAAAATTTTTCTTTCTTTTTTTTAAATGACAATTAATTATATATTTTATTAAAGATTTTTCAAGTAGATGTCGTTGTTTTGAGTCCTGGCATCATTCCAATCGATTTGTTGTTTTTTTTTGTTCTCGCACTCCCTGAACAAAGTTCAGTTACTAAATCACTTTGAATAAAAATTACAAAAAAAAGACCTTGACAAATTAATTGGATTGCTGTTCTTATCTTTTTATATTAGTTACGCTTATTGTATTCTTTCTTTTTTTTTTTCACAGAAGAATGAAAAGATTACAAGCTTGTATACAGTCTATTGTATATTTTTCAGAAGGGCACAGTAGACACGGCAAATACATGTGTACTTAATTTCATGTTATGCTTTTTTTGCTCGTAATGTTTCTTCTATGCATATATTTTCAGCAATCGATATGCCATGTGCCGCATTCGTTCGCATCATGTCAAGGATAACCAGGACAAAAAAAAACTTTCTTTTTCTTTTCTCTCTCTCTTTCTTTCTTTCTTTTTTTTAGTTGGTCGTTTTATTAAAGAAAACGAGTAGTGATGTATGTTAGTAGTACTCTATCACTGCGCACAGCGTATGATCTTGTGTGTGCATGTTTATGTGAGTTTGTCTCTTTTACTCATACGCGATCATACTTATTTCATTTATGATTACGAACAACAAGCTGAAGAGTTAGTTATTGTATCTTTATTTAACAAAAAAATCAGGTAAAATAGAACCTAAACAAAAATTGTACAGATTAAAATAACCGCGTCATTGACCTTGTGATATTTAGGAGAAAAATTAATAATAACAAACAGAACGTTGACTGTTTTCTGTCATTAACAGACGTGCTCGTTTATCAATTGTTATCTGTATAGAATCATATGTCTTTTCATCGTTATTTCTATCCTAACAGATACTTTCTAAAATATAAATGCAGTCATATAGAAGACAAATAAGGGTGGGCTAAAACTCATTATTATAACACCATTAGTTGTTCTAGAGGTAGCAGCAGTTGTATAAAACAATTTGAGCTGACATTTTACTTTGACTATGTATGTATAAATCTCAATAGTTTGTTCTTTTTGTTTATAGTAAGTACACTGAGACAACAAGAATTGATCCTTTGTTAATCACTTGTCTTGTCTCTTCTACAGTTTTTTTTTGTCTTATGAATAAATTGTTACAGTGACCTCTTACTGAGAAAAACAAAGTAAACTACATGACAGATTGTTGGTATTGATAATAAAAGGATAGATAAAAGTCTTGGTATTCGTTATCGTAATGAGAAATCATGAATGATATAGAATTCATTCGTACCTAGAGGCAAAAAAAAAATAAATATTGATTGCTTAGAATTATTCACCATTTCTTAATCACTATGCAATCATTCGATCATTAGAATTGAATAAAAGGACATACTTCAATGTTCTTTTCTTTTTTAATCTACAACGCCACAGAGGACATCGTCGATTAGTATATTCTTAAATACTACAGCTATTTTCTTCTTTCATACGTACATATATAGCATCTGTATAGTAGAATATGTTTCTAAGTAAAATGAAAAAAAAAACATGATTATGACGATAGAACGAAAAAAAGTAAGAAAAAAAAAACGACGAGATGTTGATAGATGAAATAACCCTGAATTATATATTCTATGACACTTCAGTGCATTCACAATTTAATAATCATCCGTATATGTTAGTTTTTTTCGTCCTTCTTAAAAAAAAAGCGTCATTTAAAATTAGAAGAATATGAAAAAATCTATTGACATTAAAAAGAAATCTATCATATGAGCAGTACAATTATTATTTTTTTTGTTGCTTATATCTACACAACCATGTATATGTACGTGTTTATAGCATCCTGTATTATATAATAGGTGACATATTGCTATTTTATGATCTTTCAAGTTTAGATCATAAACCTTGAATTTTAAAAGAAGTTATTATTTTTTGCGATGAGATACTTGTCAGCCGTAATATTTTCTTTTCATTTATTCATTCATCCTATTTTATTGATGCAATAATTTTTTTTTGTTATAGATTAATAAAGTTTCTCTATCATGTCAGTCGATTCTGATCGTCGGCAATCATCATTTCGTTTTCGTGATAAATTTTCGCATTATAAAGATAGAGTTAAAGAAAAAATTAAAGACAAAACTATTAAACACAATATTACTTTAATTGCCCATCAAAATTTAACATCAGATGATACAATCGATCATTATGATCATACTACTCGTCATGGTTTTCGCCAACAAATGCATCATATGAAAGATGTTTTCAAAAATAAAACACATTATAGTGAAATTAAAGATAAAATAAAAGGAAAAATCGATGATAAATTAGATTTACATGGCAATAAAACATATCCTAAAGGTTTTTATGATTCATTATTTAGTCCTGAAACTGAGAATGATGTTTATTTACAAACTGCACTTATATGTTTATGGGTTATTGCTTTATTATGTATTATACCAACAATAATTGTTATACTTTTGCCTGCAAAAAAAAAGAAAGCAACTACAACCAGTACCAATATGATTTTTTTTCATATATTTCTTTGTGAAATTTTTTATCTTAGTTATGTTTTATTAGCAATGATTAATGTTGCAAAAGAATTTCGTTTGGGACCTTTTCTTTGTGATTTTGCAAATTATGGTTTGTATATGTTTATAATTTCTTTTCTGGAGATGTAGATATATGAACAAATATGTGATTTTAAACATGAGAGAATTTCAAATCATTCGAAATAGAAGATATTAGAAAAGTGAGAACTTTCCCAATGAACAAAACTTATTAAGAATTTTCATACAAAATTTGAAGTTGAAAGTCGATTTTTCACCTGACTAAAAGTTTTTTTTGTAAAAAAAAGAATTCAGTAAAATTTCGATATTTTAAGAATGAAGACTCGGAAAATGAAACTATTCTAAATTGCTCTTTTACTCAATAGTACTCATTAAATGAACATTGTATCGCTTGAAAAATCATTTGACATCTGAAGATATTCCCTCGTAAGTCTAGGAAGTTATAGAGTTGACAAGTGTTCTCAATTACTACTTTTTACCGATGTTTATTTGCCTTCAAATTTAACATGGTTCTTATATGATATGTAAAGTACAAATATATTATACTGTTAAGGTCTTGTTAAGTTATTTTCGAACCGAGAAAAAAAAATGCAAAGATATTTTAACTTATATATTTCTTGTGACAGAATAATAGTTATCTTCCTTTGGAATTTTGTTACGCCAAAAATTTTAAGTTTTATTTTGCTTGTACATAAAAATATTTTCAAAAATAATTTAACCATGTCAATACAGAAGAAGTTATTGATGCATACACTTTAACGTATGAATCAATGACAATGACTACTGTATTTAATCAAAAGAAAAAGACAGGTATGTACTATTTTTTCGTCATATAAAAGAAAATTATTTTGTAGTTTTAATTGGTCAAATGATTTTGTGTTTTCTTTTTTTCACTATCATTTGTTTCTATTTTCTATTGGAAAATTTGCATTAAATTTGATCAATGTAACTATATAATTTGCGTATCAATTGTTCGAGAACTAAAGATCTTTATCAATATAAGGTAGACAATTATGGTGACCTTATTATTAAATAAAAAGACCATATGTACTGTATGTAATGACATATTTCAGTCTTCACTCTTTTTGAAAAAAAAGAATATAGTTATTTGATTTAATAAATATTTATATATCAAAAGGAGATTGATATAATAGACAAATTGTGAGATCGTTATTTCTATTGCTTGAAAATGACCAAGATAATATTCTATTGAATTATCGCTTTCTGTTATGAACTCTTCAATAGAAAGTGATGAAAGGTGTATGATGTCTATCATCATAAACAGATATATCATTTTATCATAGAATTGAGAAAAATGATATTTTTTATTCATGAACAATTCGTAACATAATCAGAAACAATTTTAAATACTTCTCAAGAGTTCGCGTACGATGTTATTTTCAAAAAATATTCCGCAAGATGAAATAAACAGGATTTGTCAGTATTGGAAACTGTCCCACACAATCTAGTTACCTTTTCTCAATTTGTAGAATTGAGTAGGATATAGTTATTCATAAAATCTGAACATGAAACGAATTGCTGATTGATGGCAACTCTTGACTTTATCTTTTAATGTGAAGAGAAAGAAAAAGAAACATATAAAGATTAAAATTTACAAAACATTGTTTTTGTTTTCTAGGCATGTATGTAACAATTCCAATAATGCAATTTGCTCTACTATTTCTTTCTCTTGAACGTTTACAAAAACATTTTAATTTATCATTGACATGGGCAAAAATCTTTACTAAACCATATCTAATACAAGTTATATTATGTGCTATATGGATTATTCTTGTAGCATTAGTTGCTACATTTATGTTTATAAAAAAACAATTTTCTTTTAATTTTCTCAAAGATAAAGTAAATAGTCTAGCTCCACCACTATTTGGTGATGTTGTTAGTCGAATGGTTGCACGTCGTCATCATTGTTCAGTTGATGGACGTTTATCATCTGTATTTAAAACAGCAATTATTATTTTATTTATTATATTAATTGTTAAACCAATTCTATTTTCACTTGGTTTTAATTTATTAACACCATATTGTTGTAAAAAAAGAAGAAAAGATCTTCAAAGACAAGGTGATCGTCGTATAACAACATTAGTAACAATATTTCTTTTGTTAAATTTAATTTTTTCATTTCCATTTTATTTTGTATCAATGTTTAATAATATATTAACACGTATTGATTCAACAAAAGATACATTTACAATAATATTAAAAATATGTTTTATATTACGTATAACAAATATTATATTTGAATGTTTAGCATTTTATATTTTTGAACGAAATTCATGGAATTTATTTCGTAAATTATTATATTATGGAACATGTAAAAAATTTCCGATATTTAATAAATTATCAGATGATGATGTTATGTATACAAAAGATCCTGATGTTCAAGATCTGATTAATCAAACACGTTTAGCTTCGGATGATGATGATGATCAAAAAATTAAAAAAAAACAGATTAATAAAAAACGAAGAATTAAAAAAGAACCTGAACCAATAACTGAAAGTGAACCTGATGACGATAATGATGATGATGATGGAGCATTTAGAAAATCAAATAGACATAAATCACAATTTGAAAAAGCCAAAACACCAGATCAAAGCGACAATGATGATGATGATGAAAATAAAAAAACTATTGTCAAACGAAAACCAAACTCGAGTAAAAAGACTAATGAATCAGACGAAGACGAAGAAGATATACCGAAAAACAAGATTATTACAAGACAAATGTCATCAACGAAAAAAATCGAAAGTGATAATGATGAAGATGTTAACGATGAACCAAAAAAAATTACTGGCAAAAAACGAAAGTCTACAACAAAACGACAGGAAAGTGACAATGATGAAGATGAAGAAAATGAACCAAAACATATTACTACTACAAAACGATCATCACGGACGAAAAAATCTCCCAGTGATGATGATGATGATGATAAAGATGATGAAAACGAAAAACAAAATATCACTACCACAAAACGATCATCGCGGACGAAAAAATCTCCCAGCGATGATGATAAAGATGAAGAACATCAAACTACGATGATTCCTAAACGGAAATCACGTCGAACAATTCAAGAAGAAACAATTATCGAACATCCAAAACCAAAATCAACTAAAGCACATCGTAAGGATGACGAAATACGAATACCTAATGGTAGACCGACATCACATCGACCATCATCCGTTACAGATACCTATAAAACAAAAAAACCAGTTCAAAGACAGTCAACTTCCACTCATAATCATACTACTAAACATCATTCGAGACAACGTTCGCCATCATCAAATGAAAGTGAAGCTGATACAGATTCAAATGCCAGTCATACATCATCAAAAATGATCAAAACTTCTACTCCGCCGAAACCAATAACCAAACAAACAACTAAAACTTATTCATCATTGAAAGAACAGCATAAACGAATTCGAACTCGTTCGCCTAACGAACCACGTTCTCGATATCGAACAGAATCTTCACCATCATCTCAACATCGATCAAAACAGACAAAATCAACTAAATCTCATCAGACAACAAAAAAACATAGTCATAGTCCATCAACAAAAACAAATACTCATACAAAGAAACCAAAAAAAGATCATCACACTAGAATTCTTGAAATGTCTGATGAAGTATAATCTGTTAGAGTTTTGTTTTTGTTCTTTATCAGTGTTATTGAGAATGTTTGAAATATCGAATATTAATTTTCTGTCTGCGCATCTGTGATGAACATCATTTATTGAAATCTCGCAATTGTTCTTCAGTGAGTTTGGGTTTTGTCTTTTTACCTTTTTTTGTATACTATTATTTTTTTCTTTTTACTGTTTGTCATTATACATAATTATAGCGAACATGAGCAAACAAATTAAATGCTATGTCAAAAATTGCTCAATATGAAAATTGTTATGTAGATTCATTTTTTTTTTCAATTGAGGAGTCATCAAGGATCTTATACAATTACTCGACAAATATTATTGATGAGGTACTTATATTCAAGAAGGATAAACGGAATCGATCATTTATTTTTCAATGATGAAGAACCCCCTCAGCAAATGTTATTAATATGCACATCTTAAGAAGGAACAAAGATTGTCGTCGATTGAAAGTTATATCTTCAAAGATATTTGCATTAGAAAGAAACAAATCGTGTGTTTACTTATATGAGACTGTCGATAGATTATTTCTTTAATTTATTCTTGTCTAAATATATAAAAACAATATTGTTTTCAAACTTGAATTCGATTGATCTATAATTTAGACTGAAGCTTATTCCTAAAAGTATTCGAGATTGGATTATTTCATGTTCAAGAGTATTTGGACCAAATTAAGATGAACAATATTGAATACTTAAATAGTTGGTTGTGTTCATTCTCAGGAGAGACACAGAATTGTTTGAAAATTGAAAGAAAGTCTTTTCTTCTATCTGAGATCATCGCGGGTGTAAGTGTGGATGATTTTATAAGGTGGTTTTCTCTTAATTTACACCCACACCCACACACCCACACCCACACCCTGAACTCTTGAATAACCCTGATTTTCAATAACTGGTTGCCAAAGAACTAGTTCATCCCATGCAACAAAACTGATTTAAAAAATCGATTAAAATCATAAGATTTTAATCAACAATTTAAGCAGTAATAATCATAGCAAAATCGGATTTTAATCGATTATTTCAATTATTATGATTATAATCATAAGAATTGAAATAATTGATTAAAATCTAATTTTGCTATGATTATTATTGTTTAAATTATTGATTAAAATCGTATGATTTTAATCGATTTTCACTCGATTTTGACCTCTATAAAGCTGATTTTTTTTCATATTTCTTTTTTACATGGGACGGTC